CCCCAAAACCCCAAAACCCCAAAACCCCCAAAACCCCAAAACCCCAAAACCCCAGAACATCTGCAGTCATTGAGGATATAAAAAAGGACTTCCTTGTTAATTTATAGGATTTCTAATGAACAATCAAAAATGCCAGCACATAGATTGCTGCAGCCATGCTATATGCTATATTTCTGAGAAAGAACTGTACGCGTGCAATTACCATCGTCATATGTAATACCCCAACTACGATGCCACTTCCCTTGTGAATCCCTCTATTGTCAAAGACAAGATTGAAGTATTGAAACACTGCTGTAAAGAGTTCATAGCCTTCACTTGGAGACAAGACAATGAAAGAATATCTGTGAAACATGAAGCCCTGGCCAACCAAGTCAATGATGAGCTCGATAGTCTTGCAAAGAAGTTGAATAAAGTGCTTGAAACAGACCATTACTTCACATTTAGTTATCTTCTTAGTGAAGCTGATGAAATCTGAAGCTTACTACAAAGTGACCCTCTCTACAACGACTTTTTGATGAACAGAGTATGGGTTCATTCATTAGATGTAGTACAATCAAAAGATATTAAGAGTGCAGAGCTTGTTGAGATGGAGCTGAAACACAAGCATGAAATCATCGATTTATTTGAGAAGTGAAAACAACAGCTGCGTGCAATGAAGCAGAAGCATCAACAAGAAATTGCTGATCTTGAATCCCAACTCGAAGCTGAGAGAGCCATTTCATCGAACCTGAGACAGGAGATAGAAGAACTTCAAGATTCTCAAGCTCGAGAACTAGAAGAACTCAGACAAGCAGCTCAAGATCGAGTTCAAGAACTCACTAATGTTATTGAAGAATTCAAGCAGAAAGCTCAAAGACTTGAGCAAACTGTGATCGAGCTTGAAAGACAAGTTGCTGCTGTTAAATCTGAACTACAGGATGAACAAACTAACCATCAAGATCTTCAGCAAGAAGTCAACTTGCTTAAAGAAAGACACCAGCAAGAGATACAGGATATCCAGAAGATTTCAGGAGATAGAGAAAATGAACTCAAAGTTTCAATCGGAGAACTACAGAAGGACACTCAAGTTCTTAAACAAACTATTAGCGAACTCGAGAAGCAAATGGTTGCTCTTAAGGATACAGATCAGAAGAAGGATGCTAGCATACTTGCTCTAAATGGAAAGATCTCCAAAGGGAAAAAAGACTTTAAGAAGCTACAGACAGAATATGATGATCTTGTAAAACAATTAAATCAAAAAGAAAAAGAAATTAAAGATACGAAGAAAAAGCTTAATGACAAACAAAACTCTTACAGACAAGATACCCAGAAACTCAAAGATGATCATATCCAAAGTATGGTCCAGCTACGACAAGCCAAGGATACTAAGATCAAGGATCTCAGTGATGCTTGTGAAGCCAAAATTGAAGATCTGAATAAAACTCTTCAAAATATACAGAAAAATGATTCCAAGAAAATTAGTGATCTTCGAAATAAAGTGAAAACTCTTAAAGACAATCTGGAAAAGACTGCAAAAGAGAATGATAAACTTGCTGAAGAAGTCAAAGCCATTAACTCGGACTACGAAAGGATGGAGCAATCACTAATTTCCAAACTCAACACTTCAAATCTTTCGTACTTCAGTCTCCTCTACAATACTAAATATTATTTACTATTACTGGGGAGGACAGACAATTCGGGCCAAAGTCTGAATTAGACCTTGAGCTTGACAACCCCAAACACATGCAGTTCCTAAAGTTTCTCACACAAAGAATGCCAGAGCTTTATTTGTTCAATCTCTGCAACATCCCAGTTAAAAGCCAAGAGGTGAAGACTTTCTTGGCAAACTATTTCCCCTCCAAAGTGAAAGCATGCCATTTTAACACTAACTCTGAACTGAGTTCGTCCCTGTCCTTCTACTGGGACGAATTGGAGGAAGTGAAGGAGAGGGTCACTGGTGGTTTGTACATCTATAAATTTGAGCTGTCTGAGTCCGAACTAGTTGACCTTCTCTCTGCAAATAAAAATAAGCCTGTCTTTGGACTCCGCTATTGCAAACTTCCCCTCTATTCTAATCCGAACTTCAAAGGAAAGCTGGAGGGAAGTACATTGAATTCATTATGTTTTGTGGGCTGATTCAAAAATTCTTATGCATCTTGGACAACAAGTGGATCACAATTTAAAAACTTGATGTTTGGCCTTTCCAAAGAACAAGATTTTAGAAAAAATTTAACATGGATTAGTTTGGATGATTGCTGAATAGAAGAAAGACAAATCAAACAGATTTTGAAAGCCACTGGATTTGGATATTTGCAAATTTATAAAAACAGTGGATAGAACTGAAAAATAACATTTCTGATACTAAAATATTCTTTGGTAAGTTAGTTACCGATATCTTAGTTAATAAATTTCTGAATGTAAACCTGCATTCAATCTGTTTGATATCAATTGGGGTTTTGGGGTTTTGGGGTTTTGGGGTTTTGGGG